AGGAAATTTTTGAAACAACATCTCATCAAAGAAACACATTATTGTGTTCAAGAATATCTAGCTGAAGATTTGTTTTATGACATGATAGGTCCTGACGGAATTCTCTTATTTATTTAGGTTTATGTTATCAATTTAGTACCTACATACACTTTTAATACGTATTGATACTGTCTTTTTTTATTTCTTTTATTATTATTTTTTTATTAATATGAGTATGATTGTAACATCACTTTCTCGCTATAGACACTGTGATATTAGGTATATTTTATTCATTATGTATGTATGTATGTACGTAGGACTTTGTCAATGAGAATTTTCTTTCTTCAGACGATAAAGTATATTTTAAGTGATTGATTGATTGATTCAAAATTATAAGTGACATTTCATTTCATATTGAATGGGGCTGTTTCAGTAAAACATTTTAATCATGACTAATTAATTCACAGTCGCAAACCGTTTTCCCCAGAGCTCTGTACATTTTTTGAATAAATATTGAAATTCACAATATTTCGAGATAACAGAAAATACAACCACACAACTGAATAATCAGATAATAACAGGAATATCTTTCAATATTCGCATCTTGACTAGATGAAACAAGGAATTGAAAATGAAGGTGACGTTTGGATGTAGTTCGTCTTCTTCTCTTCTTGTATTTCTGGGAACTCTAGGCATGACGCTGTTGCCAGAGCCACAAAATAATTTGGGTTTAAATAAAATCTCGATCATTATTAGGAATACTAGGATATTTTCATTGGCACTGAAGCATCTGACAAGTATATAAATATTCAATAAGTGATTATTAGGGTCCATGTCGAACTATTGTCTTCTGTGAATGTGAATACTGTTGTCAATTCAATTCAAAATATACTTTATTGTCTTAAGTTCTCACTTGTTGACAAAGCTTGTTATACACATAATATATACATAAAAGATAAATAAATGAACAACACTAGTTTTAAAATCACACACTTGTCGACAACACTTGAAATGTATATACAGTGTGTCCCACTTACCATGCTCACCATGGGTATCTTTTTAACGGTGAGAGATATGAATTCGGTTAGATGACACCAAATGTGTCAAGGCCAACTATAATGTGAAAAAATATTTTGATAAAATCTATTCGTTTTTGTTTTATACGCAAAAAACAGATTTTGATCATTTTCATGTCTCCTCCGTAACTTCTTTATTATGAAAATATTCAAATAGAAAATTTCATATTCTCATGGCAGTTTTTCAGAGTGATTTCGAAAAAAATATGAAATTTATACTAATTCTTCTAGAATTTGAGATATCAGCATCAACTTTAGTTTTTCAAATGTAGTTCATAGCTCACTAGACTAAGTTACAAATAACTTTTTTTCTCTTACAGATGATATGTTGCAGTAATAGTTTTGTGTTGATAACAACGGAGTTATCGTCATTTATACAAAAACAAAAAATTATTTGGAAGCCGCCATCTTGAATTTATGAATTTTAACAAAAAAATCATGATCTCCGACCTCGAAAACCCCCACTCACCAATTTTGAATGGATTCGGAACAAATCTTGTCCGCCATCTTGGAGCAGCCATTTTTTTTAAATTGATGATGATTGATAATGATTTCAGGAAAAAAATGTAGACCGTGTAATCTTCCTTTTCATTGTATCCTTATCGAATCTGGCATCAGGGTTGCGCAGAAGACTAAAACGTTGAAGTCATTGTGGCTAAGTCACTGAATAGCTGAAAATCTGAAGGGTATCTTTCATGCAATAATGAATTTGAGCCTTCGAAGTGCCCACCTTATGTTAGGTTAGATGTTCGTTGATTTTGATAAAAATGAATAATCCGAGACTCACGGGTCCCAAAAAAGAGGTTCTCTATTACCTAATATCCAAAGTACCGACGTATACAGGGTGTTTCTTGAGTACGTGTAGAAAATTCAGGAGCATATTGCTGACGTCAAAATAAGAAGAAAGAATATTTCCGAAAGTTATTCGTTCCTGAGATACAGAGTGTCAAATTTCAATTCTTATTTTTATTTTTTGTTAATAAATTTCAAAATAATCGTGACATTGGAATGAAATTTGGTATCTAGGGGTATTTTTCAATGACAATATCAAATTTTATGTTAGTTTGTCTCTTTCGTGGGGGTGGCGCCACCTACATGTCTTTTGAGTTTTTTTGAAAAGTCGTAACTTTTTTGTGAGTACCTGTATAACGTTTCATAGTAGAAAGATACATTTCTAGACCACTTTTGTGTGAAAAATATATTACTGGTGAAGGTCGCTGCGAGCAACTGTTTTCGAGTTATTGGGATTCGAAAAAATCGATGCATTTGAATTATTTCCATGTGTCTCGTGAGTCGCCTCTAGTGAATATCAGAAAAGATACGCCAGTGCATGTTTCTTCTTTCATTCAATATTCTCCGACATTCAACATTGGAATATAGGCAAAATATTATTCCCACTTCTTTGTACCTACATTTTTGAACTCTTCAGATTTAAAAAAATAACAATCAAGTGAGTACTTGTCATGTTTTTTCAATCCATTCTTGTGACAGTGAAGTTTGTTGTTTTCGGTACTTGTGATCCAAAAGCTTTTTCAACTAACTGTTTTAGTATCAATTTGGTCTTAATTACTGTTATCATTATTAGTATCAAATAGTAATAACACCCGATTCCTATTTTTTAATGAAATTAAAGAAGAATAATTTCCCTTACTTACTAAATCAATCTTGAATTCCAACTTCTTGTAATTACAAATTACTTGCATTGACTATTTCAAATCCCAATAACTCGAAAACAGTTGCTCGCAGGGACCTCTACCAAGAATTTATTTTTTTACACAAGAATGTTTTAGAAATTTATTTCTCTACTATAAAACGATAAACAGGTACGCACAGAAAAAGTTGACTTTTCAAAAGACTCAAAAGACGTGTAGGTGGCGCCATCCCCACGATAGAGACAAACTAACATGAAATTCGATATTGCCATTGAAAAATACCTCTAGATACCAAATTTCATTCCAATATCACAATTATTTTGGAATTTATTAACAAAAAACCTAAATAAGAATTCAACTTTGACACTCTGTATCTCAGAAAACGGATAACTTTCGGACATATGTTCATACGATTTTTCTTCTTAATTAGACGTCAGCAACATGCTCCTGCATTTTCTACACGTACTTAAGAAACACCATGTATAATTTCATGTCAAATTGGTGGATATTTTGTGTCTCTGTGTTGAAATAATCATGATTTCAGGAAGAAAATGTAGAAGAAACTCGTCGACCACCGTCGAGACGACCAACAGCGAGGAGGAGAAGTGCGCGGGCGATTCTGGGCACCGTCTCTCCAGCGCCGGCATGTCGAAGATGCTGTCGCGCAGTCGCTCTTCGTTGCACGAGGAGACGGCGGGAAAGGCGAGCCGCAGCCCGAGCAACACTCGAAGTGACAGTTTCGTTCCCAACAAGTTCAAGCAGAGCGATTCGCCGGGAGTTTTAAGCCAAGGTTAGGTCAGGTTTGATTGATTGATTGCCATTTTTGCCCCCCAGGAACATATCTGTTTACAATTCAATCACCGGCAAAAAACACCGTCACCAAGAAAATCAACCAAATTGGTCGCTCTGTAACTTTTTCAATTCACGTCCGATTTTGGTGAATATTCAAACCAAATCGTTGACTGACGTTTTGAAATAGCAACTTGAATTTGAGTTCCCAAAAAAGCTGATGGCTTGATCATTATGCAGGAAAAAATTAAAACTTTTCACTATTCACAAACTTCTTAACGCCCTGTGGCAAAAGTGAGTGGTTGAATTTAGGGTCCCTTGATGTAAATTGACGTATTTGTCATCTTAACAGGGTACGGACAGATCCTCGTCTCCTCTCACTCTAAAGTGTTTGTGAAACAGTTATATAGTTCCATCTTTATTCATTTCTGGGGATATACACTAGATTTCTGACTTTTTGTTGTTTTTTAGGTATATTGAGGACATTGGCGTATCATACGTAATTTCCACATGTAATTTCTCATTCAACTGTACATAATTATATCCAAATGATGATGATGATGATTTTCGAGTTTTTGATTTTTCAACTCCAGCATAATCTTTGTGAGGCGCTGACCAAATTTTTCTGAAAGTTTGATACGTTTCACCAGATGGGACTGTTCTTAGGCAGTACCTATCAATAAATGAATTTTGGTTTCAGACTAAGCCTTATGGTTGAGAAATGGTGCAAAATTTATTCAGGTATTCAAACTAATGTGCTCATATGTCATGTGTGCTGTATATATTCATGTTGGAAATCATTTTTGCAGTTTTTCACGAACACTCAAAATTTCCTCAATGTAGGTATAATTTTTCAATGGTGGGTATATGCCTCTTCTTTTAATCCTCCGTTTCAATCAAAACTGTTCCTACTAAAATGCATTCAAAACTTGTGGAGTGGATGATTATAGGCACAATGAGAAAGTATAATATGTGATTTCGTATTAGTTTTACCTCGAATATTTTGCTGATGTATTTACCAATTTTCCCCATCCGGTCACTTCACTTTCCATGTTCATTTGCATTTGATGGAAATCTGACAAATTCAAATTTGCCATCCAACTGATTGATACTGCCTAACGCAGCAAATTGTACCATCCTTCCAAAACAGAATTGAATAATGTCGTATTAAGATGAAGTATGAAATTAAAATTTTGATACATCTCTTTTAAACGCCTCTGAATGTGACGTAACAGCAATGTCATGTCAGGGACGCCAAAGTCACTAGATGATTAAAAGATAAAGGAGATATATGCAAAAACTTCACAAACGACAAGATTTCCACAAAATTCCTAAACACACGACATGTTTTGCTAACACAGTAGCTTCGTCAGGTGATATGCTGGTACAATGAACTATTTTATTCAATATACAGGGTGTCCGGAGATATAAAACCGAAAAGGCTTGTGGGGTTATAGGGACTGTCAATATGATTGCAAAATGCCATAAACCAATGTCCAAAACCGCTTCGTTATTGACATACAGAGTGATTTGTAGATTTTGACGAAAAATTCAATCCGCCATATCAAATACAGGGATTAACCGATTAGATTCAAATTTGGTACACGAATTACACTGGAAAAGCATCAACAAGTAGCCATTTGATCGAAACCAATATCAGGTCCGGAATGATATTTTTCCCCTATGTTGAGTTATTGTGAGAATAACTCACCCTGTATAATAATAACAAAAAAATTTCAACTCAGATTCGACATCTGCGGTAAAAATTGTATAGGAATTTGTTGAAAAATCTCCTGGGCACTATCTAAGTATTCCGTAATTAATTATTATTTTAATTTTTTTCTTTCAAAATTCAATTATTGTCGGATATAAAGTACTATCAAAATTGGTAATATAATAAATATTAACGAAACCATGACATGAATATCGTTATTTTCTTCAATCAGTCCGTAAAATCGTAGTAAAATAAAATACTCTCATTACCCGAAAAAAACTGAAAAATAAATTCGTATCAGGACTGGAATGCGGTTTTCTATATTAGTAGTGTTTAAACGGGATCCTATCGTGCTATCCCGTGGGCACTTTGTTGCTAAAATGTAAAACCCATTTTTTTATCATTCCTAAGACCTTTGCAATGCAAAAATCACTTGGTCGTCCAAAAATCGTAGTTGGAGGGGAGTGGGGGGAGCCTTTGGAGCCTTTTTTTAAAAAAAAAGCCAATTTTTTTTTCATCGGTTTTCAGATCTAAGATGTGAGATAATTCATTCCTCAAATTTGCATACCCATCCGGATATCAGAAATAATTTTTTTTTAATTTATAAAAATACGTCGCAGCATTGTTGTATATGGAGAGCCTTCACACAAAACCGCTTGCCCTGGACACCCATATTTTTAAAATCATTTAACTCGCTCTACCTCGAAAAGTATTGGGTCTAGCAAAAAAAAGCTTTCTATAAACGTTGGAGACCAAACATCAGAGAACATGTTGGTTTTTTTAGAATTTTGATTGGATAATTGGTTCACGAGAAAATTGAATAAATCGAACGGCATGTCGCGACGAACGGCGGCTAGCGCAGATATGCAGAGGAAGGGCGAGATTGCTATGCCTGTGTCAACCGAAAATCCACTCTACTGAGGGCGATGTTGATACGGTCGATGTTACCGTGAATTCACTGTTTTGTTGTAAATTCGAATGCATTGTTCTGGTAGCGCTGATTCCACTGAGATTACTAGTGATGAGTGATAAAGTTCTTGTCTATAAATCATATTATTAAATGCGAATAATAACTTATTGCTAAATTGACAATATTTAGAACTTACTTAGTGAGTATTAGGTACAGTTAGTATTTTTTTGTATCCTCTAGAAATGGATTTAACGATCAGCAGCAGCTCTGACAGTGAACTAGAGTCGAAAATCAAATTAAGACTTGCTTCTTTTCGTAAAAACTGTCAATGGACAAGACGTTTTTATTCAAAATGTGTGTCTTATTTGTTTGGAAGAAGGAAAAGCTGGTTATCTCTCATGAAAATCGAAAAAAAATTTCATTGAATTCACGAAAGAACGTATGACAAACTGTCATGATGACAAATATATGCGGCATATATTCTCAAAGTTTGATGATCTAGAACATCAAAGTTTTTTAAAATGGCAAAGAACATTGCATCGTACAAGTCAAAAAATAACAAACTGACAGCTGATTTTTCAGCAGATTTTTGTAGAGCAGATATTTTTCAAAAACGTCCCTTGCGGACACCTTTTGATTCACAAAAGTGCGTATTTTGTCAGGAGCAATCACAGAATCAAAAACTAAGCCAAGGTATGACTCGTAATATGCAAGAAAAAATAAGAACAAATATCACGAAGTAACCCTGCTGTTTTCTGCGAAAACTGCCGTATAATCAGAAGCTTGCAATACCTAATGACTTTCATTCCCTTAAAAAAAATTACTTTGACAAATCAAAAAGAAATGTACAACCTGAGGAAAATAAACTGATCATCATAGAGAAGGGCGAAATACTTAATAATAACATGAGATATCGTAATATCACGTGGTGCATTTGCAGAATGAGGGACTCTAGTACAGGGTTGGCATGAATTAATTCATATGAATTAAATCAGTGATTTAATTCGTGAATTAATTCCATTGACTTTTTTCGAAAAAGTCATGAATTCATTAAAATTTTTAAAAATGAGACAAATTGCACTATTATACCTTTGATTTTAGCTAGTTTAAACTGAAAAGTTCGATCGTATTTTGGCAAGGACTTTGTTATTTCAAGCATGACAGAGATTTTTACTAACAGATATATACCATCCATAAAGTCCATAACATATGAGAACAGTTTTATTATCACATCATCGATTTTTTTTCTCTCGGCGATCCATTATGCATATCCGATAACTTGAAAATCGATTTTGACACATGTCACGTGATCACTGGTATAGTGATAAATAAAAATAATACTATGAAGCGACGAAAAGTGGGGTTAGATAACAAAATATCCATAAACATTTCTCATTAAGTTGCTATTCCACATTCAGTTTCGAGCAATTCTTGGAGGAGAATTGGAAATAGCTATCTTTTTTCGAATATTCTTCAATTTTGTAACATATTTTTTTTTCTGACAGTAGTGATGTTGATGATGTACAAGTTGAATAGAATTCAATTTCATGCTCACATATGGAGTTTCCAGCCATTATTTGAGAAAACTAAAAATAGCTATTTTTTTTTTTTTTTTTTAATAACTCCATCTGGCATCTTCCCATCCAACCCCACTTTTTGCCATCGTAATTTTTTGAATTTACCGCCATACCACTGATCAAGTGACATGTGTCAAAATTGACTTTTAAGTAGTCAGACATGCATAATAGATCTCCAAGAAAAAATGTTTCGATATTCTACTAATAAACTTTTTCTCCATGTGTTTCGAACTTTATTTATTATTTTGTATTCTATCATCACTTTTAATTTTGTTTTGAAAAAATAACATGTTATATTATGATGTTATTCTACAAGATTTCTGAAGAGAATAAAAACATAGCTTTTTTGTTTCTTTTTTCCTATTTCGCTTTGGGTTAATGAAATTTGTTTGTTTTTTTTCAAATCAATCAATTCAAAAAAGTCTGACTTATTTCAAAAAGTCGGACTTTGATGACTTTTTCATAAAAGTCATGACTTATTCCAACCCTGCTCTAGTAGCAATCAAACCGTTTTGTGAATCAAAAGGTGTCCGCGAGGGACGTTTTTGAAAAATATCTGCAGTTTTACGAAAAGAAGCAAGTCTTAATTTGATTTTCGACTCTAGTTCACTGTCAGAGCTGCTGCTGATCGTTAAATCCATTTCTAGAGGATACAAAAAAATACTAACTGTACCTAATACTCACTAAGTAAGTTCTAAATATTGTCAATTTAGCAATAAGTTATTATTCGCATTTAATAATATGATTTATAGACAAGAACTTTATCACTCATCACTAGTAATCTCAGTGGAATCAGCGCT